CTCCTCACCCCAACTCGTATAAATTCGCACAGCGGTCGTCCGAGCGCGTCCGAGCGGGACGGCTGCCGCCACGCGAAATTCGACGTTTCGAGAAAAAAAACGTTTTTTTACTTTTCGAAACACTAACACTGGTCATATTACGGGTAACGTCGAGATATCGTACGTTTGCGAGAACCGCGTGCATTTACGAAGAAAATGCTGCCCTAGGATAATGGGGACGGGTGCAGCCACTGTTGTAGGTGGAGATTTGGGAAGGCAGGATACAGAAAGGAATATAATGTGTGTATGAATATGAGCGACGGTTAACCATTGTTAACGAAAAAACGATTCTGAGTGGAGTTCAGTTAATATAGTGATGCTTTGTCAACAATCCATAACAATATGCCATATTATGGTGAAATAATTAAATAGGCATTATACATTTTCTTTAATAATATTTGTTTAACGTTGTACCGATTTTCCCATTTCTCGGTTTTCCCATGTTTTTTTTCGGTTTTTCACATTTTCTGGGAAAACTCTTGGGAAAATCGAAAAATGGCCTGTTTAAAGTAGTACCCCAAGAAAATTTCCTTTCAGAAATATGCTATTATTGTAAATCAAAGCGTAAAAAAGATGTACACAGAAAAAATAAAATCTTATTATTTTACTAATATATTTCATACACTTTCCCTCTTTTCCTTACTGATTTTTCAGTTCTTTACAGGTGACGCGAGAACTTCTGAGAAAATCGAAAAATGTCCTTTCTAAAATGTTACCACAAGAAAATTTCCTGTAAGAAAAGGGTCTACATGGTATACATCGGAGTAAGTAAACTTCCTGGTATAAAAAGTGTTCACATAAAAAAAAAAATTAAAAAAAATAAATATCTTTGTAAAACCAATACATTCTTCGCTATACTCAGAATTTTCTAAAAGAAAATCTGACTGGGAAGGTACTATAAAGATGTAATTTTTCGATTTTTCCATGAGTTTTCTCAACGAATGTGATTAACCGAAAAAAAAACGGAGGAAAACCGGAAGAATGTATGAAAGTAGATATTGATTGAAAAATATTTCGGCCTTTTTTTTTTTTCCTGTGAACAACTTTTGTATCAGTGATTTTACTCTAATTTATAAAGATAGCAATTATTTTTCTAAAAGAAAATCCGACTGGAAAGGTATTTTAGAGAAATCATTTTTTCAATTTTTCCAATAATTTTCCCGGAAAATGTGAAAAACCGAGAAAAAATATGGGAAAATCTGTATAACATTAAACAAATATTTGTAAAGGGTGATGTACAAGCTTATTTAATTATTTTACTATAATATGATATATATATTGACAAAATATTACTATCAACTTAACTCCGCATTATACATTTTCTTTAATAATATTTGTTTAACGTTGTGCCGATTTTCCCATGTTTTTTTTCGGTTTTTACATTTTCTGGGAAAACTCTTGGGAAAATCGAAAAATGGCCTGTTTTTTTTAGACATGGTAAAATAAAAAAAAAAATAATATTTGATCCATCTTCGCGCTAATTACATTTTAATTTTACGAGGTTTTTACGTAATTTTTATTCGGTTGGTACTCTAACTTTAGATAAAATTTGTAGATTAAACAGAAATGCTTAACAATTTAACAGAAGTTTCCTTAAATGTGGCAATTCGGGATAAAAAAAAAAAGCTTTTTTTTTTTGGAATTTTAATACCAAATTTCGACGAAAATCGTAAATATTATGGCTTTCTCATCGAATCGTTTTTCGTTATCAATGGTTTATCGTTTGTTACTAGTATAAACTAAATGACTTTATGCATTTCACTAACTTTTATCCATCTACAACAGTGGCTGCACCCGTCCCTTGTATCAGCTCTGTTTAATATAAGTTTTTTTTCAAAACAATAATTAATAATAACTAATGAATTTGTGTACTCGCCGGTAAAATATCTTGGGTAATAAAAATATTATTTCAATTACAAATATTTTAAGAAACTACAAATATATATATATATATATACATATATATAAATACGAATTATGCATACATCTTTGAGAATGTTCATATTATATTATAAGCAACTGTGGATAAATGACTATGTTAATTGTATTGTTGTTATGGAAAGTTATCAGTTTATTAATAAAACGGTATTATGAATGAAATTTCCATAATTTTATACTAGTTTTGTATTAGTTTTATGTTAATATAAGAATTTTAATAATTCAATAATTATGAGTTCATTAAACATCATAACTAATGAAGACATTTTTCAATTTCGAACCATTTTGGAATATAGCATTAATGATGTGTATGCTAACCGCCAGAACGAACAAGGACAAACATTTTCGATAAATAAGGTTTTCATCAGTAATGGTGATCAATTTAATAGTAAATATATTATAAAACACTTTAAAAAAATGAAAATTACTGATAACATTATTGGCCGTTCTAGTTCAATGAGTGACCCCGATAATAAGCATTTGGATAAGATAAAAAATACATATGATACTTCTGAACTACAAAAAATACTTGAGGTCACAAAAGATGAATCTATATTAACTGAAAATATTAATATAATGAGTAGTATAGGACTTCTCTCGAAAAAAGAATATAAAGAATTTTTAGATCAATCTTCGAACGCAAGTAAACTAAATTATCTAAAGAATAAATGTAATCAATTTGCAATGTCCTTCAAACCTCATTTGATGCCATTAGAACGGCCAAAAATAAAACACAAAAAAGTCAATCAAAATGATATAAGTTTTCAAGTAATGACTAATTTGTTTGATGAAAAATCGAAGGAAACTCAACACTTGGTAAATTGTAAGATAATTTCAAAATATGAGATTTTACCCAAGTTAATGCAAAATAGTATTACTATATTTGATATAACAAATGATTCGGAAAGTGAATTACAAAACGCTAGAATTTCTTTTAATTATATATACAATGAATTAATTAAATATAGTAATGAGCAGATATTAAGATGCAAAAAAAAAGGAATTATTAGGAAGTTCATATTAATATCAACTGAAATGACTTGGTTAAAAGAAGTCAGAAATGATTATGAAATTAATAAAACAGAGGACGAAGAAGTAAATGTTGGTATTACACATGAAGGTGTATTGGATCGATTACCAATAGTCAAATATCAACCTATTTTTGAATTTGAGAAATTAGTTTTAAAATCGAATACATCAAAAATTAAAGATATTTTCAAGACTTATATTATTAGTACTGGAATTATTTATGGCCGTGAAGAAAATGCTTTACGTCATGTTTTCACTAATGCTTGGAACAATCCTAAGGAAATGTATACTCGAATGTTAAATCGAACAGTGCCTGTATTTCACATTGATGAATTAGCCAAGTTAGTGTTCATTGTTTCAATGCATGGTAGTCGTATTAAGGATAACTACATTTTTGCAAATGAACAAGAATCATATGGTTTTAATAATATTCTCAAATCAATGTGCGATGAACTTTGTAGTTCGCGTTTGGTTTCAAAAGAAGACCATTTAATTTTGAACCAATACAAATTCAACAGTTTTACGTGGGATTTGATATGTTGCGACCTTATGATAGATCCTATGTTAGATATTATTGTGCCCGATTATCAAACCCAACGAACATCAATAATATCTAATATGAAAAAAATAACACGTGAGTTTATTGAAGCCAATAATTTATACTCTTTAAAATTAATAGTTTCTGGGCAGCCAGCATACGCAGTTGCTAATATCATAGAACGCCTGGCACAATATTATAAAATACAAGTGATTAATATCCCTAATTTGGTAAACAATTATATGACATCGTTAAAAAATGATCAAAATGAATTGGAAACAAAAATTAATAATATATATGAAAATCGTGCTGATATAATACATACATTACAACAATTGGCTGAACAAACTGAAAAACTTTGGTTAGATCATGTTGATGAAAAGCTCAAGGTAGATAATCTTTACTCTGTTGAACAAATTGATAATAACTTGGAGCATGATCAAAATCCAAATGTTGAAATAAATAATAAGCAACCGGAAAACAATAACGTTGAAGAAGAAGGATTAGAATATTTAGAAAATAATAACAATTTTCAGAATCCATATGAAATATACATAAAACATAACAACGATCTATTGATTCAAACAGACAAAGAAATTAATAGTATAAAATCAATGATTAAGAATTTGAATGCGAAATTCCAAGAATATGAAAAAAATATTAGTATAAATTATGGAAAGTTAGATGATTGTTATTTGTGGCCAATAATTAAAGAGACACTATCTTCATTTACGTGTCGTAATCAAGGATATATACTTAATATGTTTCCTTTATCCGTTGAGCAAATAGAATTCATATTCAATAAAGATATTGGCTATCCAGATTTTATATTTTTGTTAGCGATAACAGAAAATTTGAGTATTCCACAACTGACCAAAAATACTACGAGTTCGACTATAACAAATAGAAACTCTAAATATTCAAATACCTATGATCCAAAAAGTAATTCTATAAAAAATTCTAGTAGTTTGAAGATGTATCAGAGTGTAGAAGGGTACGAAGAATCTGTCGATTTTAAGGATCATTTAAAATACGAAACAAACATTTATGACAGCTTCGACACAATTTTAAATGACAAACACACATATAAAGTAACAGAAATATATGATTTAATAAATTATTTTAGAGATAAAGGTACTAATATATTAAGTTTAAATTTACCATTGGAAGAGGTCGATGAAACCGGAACTCATAATTTACAATTTCAGGTTTTCACAAATACTATAATAACACGTATAGGACGTGTTCCTTTTAATAATGATATTTTGGATTCAATGATAAATGAAAGGCGAATATCAGAAACAAATAAAATTGATAAAAAAAAATCGATGAGAAATGAGAAACTAAAAAAAGTAATTAATAAGTTACGGAAGATGAAGGAACAGTGGAATAGTGATATTTTAAAAGCTCAAGAGATAGAAAAAAATCAAGAGAAAAGAAAATCAAATAAAATTAATAATTTGTTAAGCACAGATATTTTGCCAAAACTTCTGATGGAGATTACTCCTAGTGGTAAAGCTGGTGATTCAATTTCACAGTTCCCAGATAAAACATTGAATAAAAACAAATTATGCAGGACAGAAATAAATGAACTTTAAATAATATTTAAAAGTTGTATTATAATTACAATTATAAATAAATACCATTTTTATAGTTTTTAAAAATGACTTCATCAATTACACAGCTATTATATCATATAGGGAAAATATCAATACACAATTAAAATACTTTCTATACTTGTAAACAAGAGCAAAATAAGTATTTAAAATATTTATATTCCTTCGGGCTTAAATACCTTGTTTACCATTTCACTGATCATGTACGGAGGTGAATTAGCCTCCCGAGCACCGAGAAATTTCTCGGTGAACCACCTAGATGTGGTTATTTGTGGCTAATAAAAGTATAAATCTATATAATAATCGTAATATTTACGATTTACGTCAAAATTTAATAATATCTTTCTTATAAAAAAATTAATAAAATACTATAGTAGTATTTGTTAATCAGTACAACTTAAAATGAATCTCCTGTTAAATTTTTAAGCATTTCTGTTAGGTCTGACAATTTTATCTACAGAGTATCTACCGAATAAAAATTACGAAAAAAACTTGCAAAATTAAAATTTCTATAAATATCTCATAAGTTTCTAAAAAAGATAAATATAAGTTTTCCGTTCTAATTTCAAGTATATACGAATATTTTTAACGGGATCGTAACAAAAAACCAAATTTAAAATGATATATTTCGAAAATGTTCTCGTTTAATCCTCGAGTTTTTTCTCCGGTTTTCCCGACTATTATGGAAACCTCTTGAAAATTCAAAAAATGACCCCTCTAAAGTACCACTCAGATAAAATTTCCTTTCAGAAAAGGTACTACGGATTTCAAGATTTCTGGTAAAAAAGTTCGTTTACAGCTATGAAAAAAAAATAAACATCATTGTAAAACCAACATATTCCTCTACACGGTCAGAATCTAAAACAAAGACACATCATCAAAAAGTAAAACTAAAAACGTCATAATAAAATCGCGCTTACACCGTGGTACTCGAGAACGACAATAAAAATATCGTTTATCGACAACGCTATTAATATTATTAGGTATATATATATATTTTTTTTTTTTTTTTTTTTACAATTATCCGTCATCGTACACCTACATGCCGAAGTTAAAAGCATTCAACAGACACTCAAAAAAAAAAAAAAAACCCAGAAAAGACAATAATAATTCGGGTTTAATGGTACATGCACAATATTAAAATATGTATAATGTGTATAATATAACGTTATATTTTTGTTTACAATCGATGTCACTCGCATAATACGATCGTAACGTAAAAAATATGTTTTTTAACGAGAGCAGCGCGCAATAACCATAGTAATAGATAAATATATACACGTTTGAAAATAAAAAATATAGATAATATTCTATTTTATAGGTACAGATAATAATAATAACACGATGTTTGCTGATTGGACGGGTGGTGGTTCGCACGGTGACGCTATTATGTTGCCTGTACGTTTAATACGCCGCGTTGTAATACTCGTCCGATTTTACGGGGTCCGCGTCAATAAAACGAAAATCTATTAAATTGCAATAACATTGCGCGCTTTATTTGTCTCGGGAAAATATTTTGTTTTTTTTTTTTTCGTTTCTCGCGGTTTATGTGACGTTGGTGCTATAACACGAAAAGAAAAAAAAACCCCGTATGGTATACGGTTTTTTTTTTTATCAGCTATTATTAACTGCCCGTCGTGTCGTATAGCTCTCGAAATTCGAGTAGGTGCCGTATCGATCCGAATGGATTTCAATTATTAAAACGGTGATAATAATAATATACGTTATAACTGATTGGATTACGGCGGTATTTATAATCGAATTGCGCGTAATTGAATTATAATATAAAAGTAAATCGGTAAACCTAGAGGCTAGAATACGGTTTTCATCGGACGGGTATTACGGCCGTTGTTTGAAGCTTCGTATTATTTTACGTTTCGCGATAACACTGCAGGCCCCTCGTACACAAAGGTTAAACGAGTACGCCGACAGTAAAATGCTAATAACAATATTGTTTCCGTAACTGCGAAAATCGACCGGATCCCCGACATTTTACTGTTATACGTTCATTGTAGAAAATTTCGGCCTGGATAAATATTATCACCGCCCAGTGAAATTTAACCGTGGGGGTTTGGGGGGAAAATGATGGTGAGATTCAGCCGGAGAAATTTGAACACGGGTGTGAGATTTACAGGAGGGGTCGATGATTGCTGGATGGTACATTTTTTTTTATTCAGGAATCTTATTATTTTTGCGCGAGTCGCCGAAGAACTTAGAACGACGGAAAGGTTTTACGGGTAATCAAACAACAACGTATAATGCAAAAGCGTAGACACCGTGAAAAAAAAAATCCGAATGAAGCATACTGTAATAAATATTAGGATAGACGATTTATGTCAGTTCGATTTCGACGTTTATAATCTTTTAGCGTCGCTTATCGTATGCTTGGGTTTTTGCGATTTAGCGTGGTTTTTTTTTTTGTTTAACAAAACACTATAGCAAACGAATATCGGGTTATTCATATAAATCACACTCATTATCTCGGAAAGTATTAACTTTTTTTCGGAATTTGTTTTTTAGAACATTTAAGAAACAAACTGCTCTACAATTTTATTTCTATGTTATTTTTTGTCACCCTTATTTTTGGTAATAAAACCACTACCTACTTTTGATTTTCAAATGGCAACCTATATTAAAAATTCGATAAATAGATGGAGTATTAGTTAAAATAAATTTGAGTGTTAAAATTTTTGATTTCCGTTGATCCGTTGACGAGATATTCCACTTTTAAGTTTTGGTTGGAGGAGAGCAGTGGAGTAACATTTGTGTGACGGTACGGCGCGCGACGTATTATTAATGCACAACTACTAGTGGTTTTATCCCTCAAAAATAACGGTGACAAAAAATAACACAAATATAAAACCGTAGAGCGGCTTGTCTCTTAATTGTTCTAGAAAACAAACTCCGGAAAAAGTTAATACTTTCCGAAATTATAAGCGTACCCACTTAAATGAATCACCTGGTATATCGTCAAACATACAAACTCTGCTAACCAATCGCCCTATCGCCAGCTAAAACTGTGCAAAAGCATAGACGGTAACAAGTTTGCCAACTTATTACATTTTCGACACTTTCGAATAGAGAGTTTCCTGGAAAATGTTGTTGCACAATACTCCACTTACGAAAAATCACAATCCGTCATATGGCGGAGGACGAGGCTAGAATCTATATCTTTCATAATTTGAATGTCCGGTTTAAATAAATTCAGACCCGTGGTGTGCGGACGGATTACCGTATCAATAAACATAGACATGGAAACGGTAACCTGCATCATGCATGGACGCCTATATAATCTTCCTGTGTGCGAATCACAAGTATGTACATTAAGGTGGTCCAATTTCAAAAATTTTTTCGGGACACCTGTCTATTTTGTATCGTTCTATCGTATAATAAATTTACCTACGGTAAAATAATTAAACAGACATTATATATTATTTTCTTTAACAATATTTGTTAAATATTGATTCGATTTTCGAAATAATTTTTCTTAAACATTTATAATAATACACAGAGCGGTTGTTTAAGAATAACTTAGTGTTCATTACATTTTTATAGCTAAATATTATACATAAGTCAAAATTTAAACAAAAAGTTTCTCAATTATTCTGCTCTAAATACTAAGGATAATAGCTGCACGATTCAAAATAAGAAACAATCCGTACTATAATATCATATTAAATCAAAATAGTTTAACTTACTATAATATTAACAAAGTACAATCCAGCCGCAACTCAAAATAACTACAACCTTGATAATACGAAAAGTCGAGAGTTCGAATTTATTTTTACCTCCTACACATTCTCGTTAAATTCATCTTGATATGTTACTCAAATTTAAAATAGCTGTTTATTTTGAACTGTAATAATAAGCGTAGCCTAATTTCTTAGCGTCTTCAATTAACATATGCCCATGCGCGGTGTTAAAAAAGACATTAAAATCTTAAGATTAAAATATATCGTTTGCTTTTTATCTAAAAAATCAATTCTAAACGATCTATAGTCGTTTGTATACATGCTATGATCTCATTGATTTCAATTGTAATCTTTTCGATATTAAATATTAAAACGCCGCACGCCTCCACTAGTTACTATTAAAATGACCTCAAATTTTGAAGATATTTTTTTTCATTATACGGCACACGACAGGTTAGGTTGTCCCGGAGGAAATTGTCGAAATAAGGATCGTCCTTAATACACATAAAATTTTAAATACAAGGAGTAAAAGTTTGAAAACTTTTTGGAGGGTTAGGTTAGGTCGCCGCGCCGGTCCGTGATAAAAGAATCGATCTCGCGTCTGTGTAATAGTATTCTGAACAGGGTCTGACGGGGGATGGGAGAGGGCAGTGGTGTAACCGGCGGGTTGATCCGGTAGGCCCGGGCCTACTCACTTTTATCCGAAAACTAACACAATTTTAAAATCGAAAATGTTTATATTGAATAATATTTTATGAATATATTAAGTCATTTTGATATTTTAGATTCGGGTTAATCATTGATTACCTAGAAATTATCGTGTTTGGATCTTTCGTATTGCTTGCAATGGGATGTAAAGATTTTCGATTATAATGATAATCATTCAATGATTAGATTTGTACACCTGTCGTCCTGGCTCCCTTTTTTCTGTTTTCATTTAGTAAATATTGTAATAAAAAAAAATTAAAAAGACATTATTACTATTAAAATATGAATATTGATTTCTAATCATTTAGGGTGAATTGTATTGCTGGAAGTCTAGTGCAGGGGCCCGGAATTCGATGTGGGCGCCCTGGGTACGCCTCTGCAGGGGGTAGCAGGGAAAACGATCTGACGATTTTTCCCGGATAATTCGTACAGGCCGCCGCGCCAGGTTCGGTACTCGAATACGCGAATTCGCGTTCGACGCTAGAGGCGGTTCGGTGGGCCGGGTGTAGTGCGGCGGCGAGGGTGGGGAAACCGTTTCGGCGTGAACGTCGAGGTTAATACCGGACGACGCGGATACCGTAA